AGTAATGACTGAGTATTTGCTAAACTCACGAGGAGTTTCATCTGAGCGATTGCACCCATTCAGACCAGATTGGGGCCTCTGGCTTCCCCTGAACAACTAGACCCCCGGCGGACATAACTTTATAATATTAAATATATTATAGAATTGAAAACGCTTCGATAGCGTGATTCAGAATTAATTATTTGAACGAGTGTTATTTGAATGATTTTTTGTATTTAAACACTGTTAGGATTAAAAAATGATACAAATAATATATATTTATGATTAATTAATAAATATATTGTAATTGTTTTAAATTTCTTTAATTGAAGTTTATAATAATTGACGTGAAAGATTTTAAATGTACCCACAACATTTTATGTATACATTGGTTTTTTGTATTATTAAGTCAGTGGTGGCCTAATGGTTAGAGAGCCCGCCTCTCGTTGCCGATGGCGCGGGTTCGATCCTGGCAAGTTCCAATGTAATTTTTCCGAGTCATATGTGTTTTCTATGAGTATTTAGACACCACTGACAGACGGTGAAGGAAACATCAAAACTTGGACTTATAATTTTACAATTAAAAGTTTGAAATCACCAATCCGTTCTGAGCTGGCGTGGTGATTAATGCTCAAAACCTTCTCCATGTGAGAGGAGGCCTTTGCTCAGCAGTGGGCTCTGATGATGATGAAAACCAGAAAATCTGTTACAAATAATTCCGTGTTGATAATATCTTTGCTACGAGAGTAATTTTAGTATTGTAGTATTACTTTTACAATAATATATTCTGTGAAAGGGTACACAATATAGTAAGGGCGAAATATATTTCAAATACTCTAAAGTCTAGTCTACTATCTCATTGATTGTGATGCCAAGTGTTATTCTAAATCGTGTCATGTAAGTTCTTCTTAAAATTTCATATGACTATTTTGTAATACTACAATTATAATTTCACTTGGTAGGAAGTCTGTGAATGTGAATCCCAAATAAATACATTACACACATTAAGTATCGTGTTATTTTAAAGTTTGGTAATGTTATATTTAACTGCATCAGTCATAGCCATTGATGAAATATTATATAATACGATACTCTGTTGTAACACAGTATCATTCAGAGAGTTTCTTTATTAAAAATTATAACATTACACTTGTGTCTATATGAGTATATAAAAACAAAGTTACTTAAATTCATTTGAATAAAATCTGCTAAATGTTTTAAGTCAAAATAATTTATTAAACAAAAAAAGGACATGTTTAGCTATTGACTTTCAAATGTAAAATTAAATATAATTTTTTGGTGTATTTTGTGAAAGCTTTATTGAAAATCACTTCTAGATAATTACATTTTTAATATAATCTAGTTTTAAGAATCTTTAGACTTACTTTTTATTTAGTTATAAGTTCCTTATTAAAACCATTATGTAGTTTAAATAGTAAATACGACATGAAGCTAGACTGTAATCTCGAGCACCTTGAACTAATAAGTTACGAAAACCGTTGCTTAATAAAATAATAAAACTCCCGAAACCCAGCACAAGAATAAGAAATCTGTAAAGTTTTCCTCAATTATGGATTGGGGTTCAGCACAAAGTTCAGGGAAACTTTCCACATACGGAGAGTTTTGTTAACGCAACTTCGAAATTTCAGTTTACCAAACTTTAGTATTCGACTTGAATATTAATACGGAATTTTCGGATGGAATTATAAAATGTATAGACGATATACATTTTGTAAGTGTGATATATGTACATACATATGGTTGAAGCACCCACAGGTGTTGCCGCTGGATCTACATATATGAAATTATGTAACTTTTACTTTTAATTTATTTTTTAAATCCACACTAGCTGTAATCCGCGACTCCGTCTGCGTAAAAAATGGAAAAGAATAATTTTCCTACTCGCTCGAAATAATGCTTAATTTCGGGATAGGGATTCGGTATCACGATAAAAAGTAGCTTTTGTTACTCCTACATCAGCTACTTGCCAACAAAAGTCCCGTCAATATCGGTCCAGCAATTTCAGAGTTTAGCTGGAACAAACACGCAGACAGACATAAATTGAAAAAATCTTATTTTAGTGGTGTCCACTACTTCTACTATTGACTTGTGAACCTATTTTTTGTCTGCGGCTTTTGTTAAGTCCAATTTGAAATCTATATTTGATGTTTTTTTTTATTTTGTCATAATAAAATATATTTTTAAAATGATACTTCAAAGAAATATTATTTTCTAAAAAATCCTTAATAACAAATTATCAAGACCATTGTAAATAGAAAAGCGAATTGTTTACACGTTTACTTCGTTTGAAACAAAAGTCAATATGTGTCAAAGCTATTATAACCAAAATGTTTGCCAGAAGTCTTCATCACGCTAGTAGGAGAGGCGTCCTTTAAATCTACACCAGGGTCGCAAGTCCCAGGCCCTGTTGAAGCTCCTCTCATTACAACGATGGACCCGGCACCCGCACGGTGAATCCATTGAATGATGACAATCATTTAATAAGTCCGTATTTATATAACTACCAATGTACATATATACCTTTAAAAGAGTATTCAGATAAAAATCTAAAGATTTTTTGCTCTAAATGTGGGAAGCAAAATTCGGGTAAAACCAAGTGTCCATGAAATTATTCTACAATAATACCTTAATCAATATGTACATTTGTATGCTGAATGACAAAAATATTCTATTTTGTTTAAAGTTTTTAACAAACAAAACACGCCGTAACGTATTAAATTGTATTTAATTGAATATTAAAAATAAATTAAAGTGAAAAATCTTTTTATATATTTAAAAAAGATATGAACGGTCAAGATATTTGTGGAAAAATAATGTCTCCATAGATATTTTATCGTTATAATATATAATGAATTCTAGTGTAAAAAGGGTTTTAAACTTTTTAAATAGTTTTAAGATTTTTGTTACAAGGGTTTCTCAGCTAGGAAGATGGAAATAAAAATTCAATGTGCTCGGAGTAAACTATCTTTATTTCACAAAAAATAAAACACCAATTAAAATACAATTTTTAAATATTATTTATGGTTAGATTATTTGTATATTAATCGTACAGACGCGGTCTATTTCATATAAACTAATACCTAAGATCGTTCCGCCATCTTTTATTGTCACATTATTGTCATCTGTAGACCGCGTAACAAACATTTATTAAACTTAACTAATTACGATTATATGTTAAAGAGTTATAGACAAGTTACGAATATACTCTCGTATTTATTTTTCATCCGTCAGATATGTCAGTAATATGTTTAATCTGTGTCCAACGATATTATCTGTATGTTAAACAAGATATGTAAATGCGAAATCTAAGTACAATAATATTAAATTTAACAATTAAAACATCTATAGTTACTGCAATACGCGTCCCGCTAAACGGTCCTAATTTAAATAAAAAATAATTTGTACAACATGGGAATATTTATAGAAAATAATATTATAAATTAATGTATAGCTAAATAGTAGGATGGGACTGTTTCTCCGTCAATAAATTGAAGAATGAATTTGACTAGCTTAAAGCCGTAATACATATGTTATAGTTAAAGCCAACTTCATAGTCTGTAAGGTTTTGTCGACGATCGTCGCCGTATCTTAGTCAAGATATATAGACAATATATAACTAGCACATAAATAGTTAACAACACTCTTAAAAACAATGATGGCAACTCTGTCCGCTCTGTCAACTGCGACGCCGCCATCTTGATATGAGCGAAAGTGCGGCCATTTTGAGAAATATGTTGCATTACGAGAATTTTTTTACGTCATAATAGTATTGAGAGAGCTCAGCTAGTTTATAAGAATAACTTGAAATATTTAAATGTAGTTAAAGCATTTTTTTGTCGGTTCAGTTCATTAAGGTATACGAATATAAATGTACCGAGATACATTTTATCGAACACCAGTCTGAACGCGAACCAGCCGTCCTTTAGGCTTTTACAGGACAAACTTATCTAGTCACAACAACAGTTATACATTGAAGCTAAACGATTAAATAATTGTATATTCCAGCGAATTAATTTCACCAAGCTTACAATTACAAGGATTACGTAATTTTATGCTAAGACATGAATAATATATGTTTCTTTAGTTAGAAACTAGAATTAATACAATATTTTAAAATTGCAATCTACCACTACGATTCATGTAAGATATAATTTTATTGTCAATCGTATTATTGTCTACGTTAGTATTTATATAAATAAATGGGCTAAAAATATAAAATATGAATAAAATTCATAATTTAGATATTAAAAAACATTCAAAAGATTAATTTAAAACCTTATTATCTAAAAGGTAACGTTGTAAAATATATAATTCATCTACTAGCGATCGTATTAATGGGTAAAGCAAAAGTATTGTCAGGTTTTGTATCTAAATTATTTGAGTATATAAATAAAGATATATAATATATATATGTTAAATGAATATGTTTTATAAAAGTTTGGTAAAAGATATAATATCAATATCATTCTTCAGTGACATGCAAGAACATTAAATTTTTAATCGCCGTTAAATATTTTTTATCATATATATTTTTTAAACATTCCTATACTACTAATACAAAGAATTGTAAACTTTTTTTTTTATTAATTTCTTATTGTCCGTTCGATGTCTTCTCCAAAATTGACCGGTTCGTGTAATTGATCTTGTAATAATGGAGAAAACAGTATTGTCATATGTAAGTTCCATCGATATTAAATACTATACCTACTAACAGCCTAACGCTGTCGTACAATTGAAACGCTAATCTTAAATCTATATAAATATAATGCGATCGTAAATTTGGGTTAAATATCGCATATCTATAGACAAAAGGAAAAAAAATCATTTTATAGTTATAAAAAATATTGCGATAGAAGGAACGCACGAAGCTCGGTTTGAAGTTTTCTAGCTAAGCGAAGATATGCTTCAGATATGGAAAGTTACCGGTTAAGAGTTAAGCCCGGATTTACTTCTGGATAATTCTGGAATGTTCTCGATCGTTCTGGAATCTTCTGTCCGTTTCAATAGCCGTACGGTACGTATTCAGGTAGTACGTAGTCGAAGTACGGATGGTAGAATGTTCGACGTACGGGTGGTAACATCACGTCGGAGTAACGAGAGAATTGGGATACCTGACGGCTGTTGGTTTGAGGTTTCCTGTAATTAAATAGAATATTAGATACAATTATAATCATAATAGATAATATTCTCCTAAGAATCTACATCAAGCCCGTATTGATTATTATATTTGCATAGTAATTCCAAATCAAAATTTTCTTTCTTCATATATTCGTGTTATTTTATATAAATCAACCATAATATTGTCTGTATCAAATCTAATTTAATTTATAATTAAATTTAGCTAGACTAGTAGTCAGTTGAATTAGACATTAATTGGAATCAAATAATTGCGTTATCATATATTCGCATATATTAATACATGCATATAATTAGTATGACATATTATACGCTGCTCGTATATTTAGTTTCAAATTAAATTGAACTAGATAATCAAATTACAAAATAATTTTACTATATAGTTTTTAATATATTACGCATACCTTTGATAAAAGTTTAAAAAGATTTCAGACTTATGTTATTTGACGGGTACTGCGAAGTTATCGATAGAATAAAATCAGATTGTCAGTTTAAATCGAAACTTAAACAGAATTATGGTTCTATAATCTTTTACTGTAACTGAAAATTTGCAATAATTAAATTAATTTCAACAACTTCTGATAGATTACAGTTAATCGAATTTGTTAAATAAAACATGAGTAAATAAAATAATGCGGGTGATGATACTTAATGTATTTTAAATCTGTTTTACGAGCGTGTAATCGATCAGGCTTGAGGGTAGCCGCACAATTCATGAGGATTTTATGTTCTTGTTAAAACAAAACCGTAATGGTCGCCCCATGAGTTGCTTAAAGTGGTTTCCCTTGCTCGACTCCAAATAATTAAGGGTCCATTATTAGAACGGATCATTTGAAATTAATTATATGTAACAAATTTACTAATACTCTATATGAAAATCGTTGTGCTATAGATTTGAAGAAGGTGTATTGAGAAGATTGTATTATGCTTATTATATATTTGTTTTGTTGATTATGATTACTTACTTTCCGTGTCCTGGCTGCCAATGAGCTCCTCCTTCATCAGCATACTCCAAGTTCTGCAAACCCCTTGGCTCCTGTTCACCATAAGTCCCATATACGTAGTCGTCACCCCTAGCAAGAAATATTTGTGTTAAAATAATTTATTTATTACTATATGAACGAAATTGTATTTATATATATGATTGTGGTTCTAAATTATTTAAAGGACTTCGTCTTAAAGGAATTTTAGACGGAGTTCAGAAAGGCGAATAACGTATGCTAAAAACTCCTTCGGTAAACAAAAATGGGTTCATCTCTCGTATCTGTCACTGAATTTTCAATAAAATATAACTATTAACTGTTCCAAACTTTATCCTCCCATCCTTTCATCTTTATAAAAATATTTGATTTATAACTTTGATTGACTACATTTAAGATATATGTTGTGTATGTAAAAAAGGTTAGCTGCACTATTCATAACTCAAGAACGGCTGTAGGGGTTTAGCTGATAATTACTAGAGAAGTAGCTTAAACCAAGAGAAGGACATAGGATACTTTTCATCAGATCGAAAAAGACAAAAAAAGTAAATGAAATTCAAAATCTTCTTAAGTACTGTCTTTAAAGAAGAACAGAGTTCGCCTCATCTATAAATTTCTAATTTTGAAACTAGCGCAGACGAAGTCGCGAGCAAAAACTATTACGTATATAATTGATAGGAATTTTATAGCAAGTACTGTTTCATAAACAAGATTAAGTTTAAACTTTGTAAGTATAAGCTTCTCAATCCAATTATAAAAAGGCTTTACATTTATTGCTTGAAATAAATTGCAATTGAAAATTTACGACGGAACATTGTAATATTCCATAAATATCGTATGAAATGAAATCTGTCGTTGAAATAAATCGATTTGATATAAACCATTCGTAATTTGTATTCAATACGCTCTGAGGATTGTGAAGTTGTTGCCAAGTTTTCCACCAGTGGTTCCAACTGACTCAAGAATGCTGTACAGCTTAATAGATTGGTTAATGATAGTTCAGTGAGTTGAAATGCTAATAGCTAAAATATTAAGGCAATTTGAAATTTATGATTGAGAATAAATCGAAAAAGTTTTTATATCTCTGTTAATTATTTTTCAGCTTGACTTGTCGAATATCTTAAATGAATTTATGTGCTAGATTATATATTATTTTCAGTATTTTAAGTAAAATTTTGAGGTTTTCTTTTTGCGGAACAAGTGGTGTCAGAATTTTCAGGTCAGAACAAGGGCTTCCAATATGACCTAGATACGATAGAAAATGAGTCGTAAAACTTAACGTGCCTTCCGAAGAACGGATCAAAAAGTTATTTTTAATAATATTTGCATTTAATTTAATTAACTTATACGTATTTTTTTATAACAATAATATTAACATACATAAGATTTGGTCGGTTATATAATAAATTTTTATTTGAATTAATAAAATGTAGAAAAAAGTAATATGTATAAGCTTTAAAATTGAATAATTATTGTTAATACTTCGTTCCGTCTTTATAAAGTCCCTCCCCCTTAATACGGTTACAAAACTCTTTTCCGGTTTTAAGTTCTTTCAGTTTGTTTCGGGAATATTTTAATTTAGAGCTGGGAAAGCTAAATAAACGAGTTAAGGATTGTCGGATTACCGTTAGGGGTTTTCGTTTAGATAGGGGAGAATAGGGATGAATCTGTTTCCTACAAACAAAAGATTATTATAGAAAATAATCTTTCTTGATTCAAAAGAAAAATAATTCAGTACGATATTCCTAATAGCATAAAGTATATCCTTGTTTTACGTAATAGCAAAAAAAACCTTAAATTGTTAGTAAAAGAGTTGAAAAGAGATTGGTTTTTGCCTTGAAACAAATTTTTTTTAGCAGAATATTTAATATTAAATATCACTGTCCTAAAAAATTTAAAAACTTGAGAATGATAGAAATAGTTAAAAAAAAATTACTGAGTTTATGTAAATACGTATTTTTGATACGGTTAAATATAATTGTTTTATCGCGTCCTTAAACAAACGACGAAACATCTTAAAATTAAAACAGAGGTCATAATATAATATTCATTTCAACAATATTATAACACATCGGCATAATATCGTGTGCTTTGTTTTTACTGTAAGAAAAAAAAACATACAATGACATTAATATTATATAATATTAAAATGTCCCTTACCCTCGTCCCGCCGCAATCTCCTTTAGTTCTTGTTTTTGCTCAGTTTCATATTTCCTCTGTAATTCACGAACATGTTCTTGTCGGATTAGCTTTTTCAGCGCTTCGAATCTGCAACCACAGCGCTTTATTATATAAAATTAACGAAGTTTTACTCGGAGAATAACGTTAAGTTTGCTCACTGAAGATTAATCTCTGACATTTCTAAAATGGTGGCTTTAGCGAGGAAGCAGGGAAAATATGTTTTTCAATTCTTGAAATACTTTTATTTAGGTAATTATGATGTTAAAAAGATAATCTGGGGTAATAATTTGTGAGAAAGAATTTACATTTTTTGTTTTGGAAGGCGGAATATCCGAATTTTACCTGTCTCTCTGTGGTGGAACCATGAAAGTAGATCCCCCACGTTGTCTGGAGGGGCCGGAGTAACGAAGAACCTTACCAGATGTTTGAGGCACATTCAGCATACCAAACATCTGATAGAAAAGAAAGAATATTAGTTAATTATGAATTTGAGACGATTAAAAATACTTATTTGATGAGATTTAAGACTTTAATAAGTATTCATTGAAATAAAAATTGATGTAGTATTTCGTGAATCCGTAAATATTAGTTTTATTACATATATTCTATGTTATTTTTAGATTTTCCAATAGGCTATATATAGTCAAGCTGTAGCTTGTAGTAATGGACTATATATTCGATGTATTTCAAATAATTAATAACTCGGAACACACACTATAATATTGGTTATATTATTTGGTTTTCAAGAATATAATATATGCAACAAGCGACCATTAACTTTATATAAATATAATAAGATTTAATAGTTCAATTGAATTTAAATGTGGTCACATCTTCGTAGTAAATGTCACAGGTGGAAAGTTAAATTGTGTAATGTGTGAATGAAGCCATAGCATAAAAAAATGTCTAATTTTATTTGTCAGAATAGAATATTATTACTGTAATTTTTATGTTTATAAAATTAATGTGAAGCCATGATATTGTATGGATGTAATATATATATATATATATATATATATAAATATATATATATACACATATACAATGAGACGAGACGAAACTACTAAGCATTCCATGGATTCACCGTGCGGGTGCCGGGTCCATCGCGTTGCAGGGAGAGGAGCTTCAACAGTGCCTGGGACTTGCGACCCAAGTGTAGGTTTAAGGGGCCCCTTAACTAACGCGCGTTATACGCTCACCTCCACTGTCCAAGCTCCTCTCCCTACCTAACCAAATTTGAAAAGAACCTACTAGGGCTGCCTTCGATATACGTTCCAAGAATGCATTAATGTGAGTTCTGGACAAGCCCAAGTCCTTTAGTAGGTTGTAGAGAGATTTCGCTGTTATACCTCTCGCTCCCACCTCTACCGCGTACAAATCTACTACGAACCTATTTCGAGTGAGTTCGTTTGTGAGCTCGTAATATTTGTTGACCTTGATGGTATGGTCTTTGGGGATGTTGGTTTCCCAAGGGACCGTAAGCTCTATCATCACTACGCGCTTTAGAATTCGCGAAAACAAAAATATATCCGGTCTGGAGACCGACGCACAAATATCCTCGGGGATTTTATATTGCTTTTCATACGTGTCCATCATTATAGTCCAATCCGACGCCGCTTTAAGGATGGAGTAAGGCTTGACGTTTGATTTTGTAGCCCTAGTGCCTTCTCTCACAAAACCTACTGATCGTTCGTTTGTGGTTATTTCCTTTTGCGCTCTGGCTACCGAAAGACTAACCGCTTCACGTATGACTTCTAGAACCCTATCGTGACGACGCGAGTATTGACCGCTGTCCAGGAGTACCCTACATCCCACCAGCAGATGCTTAGCAGTTCCAACTGCCTTTCCACAGATATAGCAAGTTTTTTCGGTACTTTTACCCCATCTTACTAAATTACTCTGATCTGGGAGAGTCATCTGGAACGCATTGAGATAGAATTTTAGCAATGCTGGCGACCAATCATAAATTAAAGTGCGCCATTTTAATGCTAATGGGATGCAAAAATCTCCTATGTCTAACCACTCGTTCTGCATTTCTAAATTCATTGCATGGATCTTATATTTATCATTCTCGTCTTGCCGAATAAAAGACTTCAATATATCCGCATCTTGGACTTTCCTATTTGATCCTAACCCCGCTTAAAACTTAAATAACTTAACTTTATTACTTTAAATTTGAATTTATGTAAACTAATTATAATAATAAGAAAACAATTTAATTATAGCAATCATATGGTCACGGTTGTTGAAAAGTAATCGAAACGTCGGGAATATGTAGTTTTTAATATAAATAAAGCACGCGTATATAATCCGAAAATTATTACTTTCATTTAAATGAATACTCACGAAAATCTTAGATCTCATTATAGCAATCATAACTTTCATTTCATGTTTATGAAGAACCTATCCTTAGGTATATCTTTCGTGAATATTCCCGATGACATTCTAAATTGAAGTATGCAACTAGTTTTGTATTAATATCAGAATATCCCAAAACAATGCATTCCGTTTCCTATATACTCGTACATTCATAGTTGTGTGAGAAGCGTCATCAATGAAGCCATTGCGGGCGTTATTGAACAGGTCAAACTGGGTTTAAATAGGTCAAGTTTAACGTAGCTGTGATCACTATAGCATAGATGGTATTACAGGAATCATAAAACAATTCTATGTACATATATATATATAGAGATTAAGTTCATCTAATACAATTAATATTAATAATAATTATTATAATTGATTAGAGGGCGCGTGTTCGATCCTGGCAAGTACCAATGTGATTTTTCCGAGTCATATTATGTACTTTCTAAGAGTATTTAGACATCACTGATTAATAATGCATTCCCAAAGAGGAATGATGTCAGGCAGGCAGCTGATCGTAAAAACAATTAGCCATAACTATTCACAACATGTAAGGCAGGAAAATTGACAGGTAGAAGAAAAAGATATACTCGTATATATATACTTATTTTTATATACTCTTTCTTAAGTTCTTACTGCTTCTTAATATGAACTTGCTAGATGTTGAAATACTTCGTTTCCATCAATTCTAATACTTCAATTAAGGTGAAAGGTTTAAATGGGTCAAGTTTAACAGAGCGCCCCCGGGTATAACCATAGATTGTGACCTCTCGCTTGCTTTTTAGAGCGATTGATCTAAAATAATCTATATCCTTACTTATATAGAAAAGCTTGCATTTGTTGAAACTACTAAATTTTGTATTAAACTGTTGGAATATATAAAAGAGAAGAGGTAAAGAATTAACCTGATATAATATACAATAAAAGTTTTAATGAAGTTAAAATTAATGTTAATATTTTTCTTTAAACAAACCAACAGAAAATTACGCAACATCTGTAATGTTTATTTGTTTTTGTTTTTTAATTATCTTCATTCGTTCCTTGTACCAGTTCCTTTGTTTTTGATATAAACGAGTTCAACAAAGTTTCTTATTATTATCAAAGAAAATAAAAACAAAATAAAAAATATAAGTGCCATAACTTTAGTAAAATTATTCTGTCATTGCAAAATTACGGTTATGTTGTAATATTTAAAAATATTAGTTTTTTTTGTTTGAAGATTTAGTTGAGATATTTTGATCGATTAACTATTTTATTACCTAGTAGAATTTATTATTGCATGTTCTTTAATTTAAGAAACTTTAAACTTAATTAAAAATTAAACTTTTTCTTGATGATTTAAATATCAATATCACAATCATTTTAAGATTATTTTTTATCTGTATAAACTACAATAAAATCTTCTCTAATCAAAAATCATAAACTTTGTTTGTGTCAGGTAAAAATATAATTAGATTTCGCAAAATATTGCACAAAGACATATCTGACCTATATTAAATTAATGAAAAATGGAATTAAAATACAAAATAATATGAACCGAACAATGGAAGCGTTATAATTGATAAAGAAGAGGAAATAGCTCGAGAGAATAAAGAAGATATTAAAGATAATGATTTGTAAAGAGGCTGTAGGTGTAATAAATTTTAAGACGTTTCTGACAGAATATTCACTGAGGAATTATATTTAAATGGTTTTATTTGTTTTGATGTTATAACTCAAAAATAAGCAGACAAAATGTAGATTTTTTTATTACTTAAATTAACAATACGTACGTACTTGTAAATATGTTTGTTTTACTAATAGCTCAATCGATCGAATTAAATAATAGTGTATATATATTGGGTATAAATGAGTTTTGACTCAAAAAAGTGCATTATCAGACGTAAATAAATATATTATTTATGAAAGATATACTTATATAATAATATTAGGTTACGCGATATTTATATATTATAATTCAAGACTATTTAATTTTAAAGAACAAAATGATTGACAAAAATTTAATCAAGAATGTTGAAGTGTTTTAAATCCCATCTCGATGAACACCATGTGAGCTCTTAAGACAAGATTAGTGTGTTCTGTGTTAATCAGAAGTACTTAGACGAGAATATTAAGAAATCGTTGGCAGCAAATAAAAATAAAAAGACAAACTAAGATGGTTTAACTATCGACTTTTTTAACTGTAATTAGTAATAAATATATATATAAATCTTTAATACGTGTGTATAATACTACACACGTTTTGTTATTAAAATAAATGTAACAAAGCAAAGTTTACTTAACAATAAGATGTATATTATTATTGTATTACTAATATTATAATTATATATTAAATCTGTTAAGTTATATGAAAGTTTGAAAACAAATAGTAACAAACACATTAAAGAAACATTTATTAACATATTATTTCATCATCACTTTGTGAGTTGTGACTTTCATAGGTTTCATAGTTGTGAAGTTTGTTGTCGAGGGTAACAGAATATTACATCGCAATTTTTGGCACTTTATTTTGTTTTTCGGCTTCTTTGAAATACTTTCAGATATCCCAAATATTATACGTAGCTGGACATAATATAAACGTCTCAAAAATTTCAACACGTGTATTCTTCAAACGAGTTGAGTATAAAGCTATGTGATTAGAAATGTATCGGGAGGATTTATATCAATAGTTTAATTGGAAAATGACCTACAGAAAGGCAATGTAGATGTTTTTGGAGATAAATAGCGTAATTGCAATATATTTTGTGATAGGAAAAAGATGAATAGTTCTCTTTTAAATCGACTTAGGGCCGTCAAATTCGTCAGATAAAACATATTAAAATTTTTGGACGCAAAAAAAAATTTCCTATCGTTATTTTTATCTTAAGTCACAAATATTTCTTTTATGATTTTTCGAGTCTTTTTGATGTAATTTATATTTTATATAAAATAAAATTACCTCGCCATAGTCGGGAGTACGGACGACGTTGGGTGGCGCTTTTGTGATAACTCGACCGTAAGCTTCCCTCGGGATTGGTGGGTACTGGTATCTGAATCTGTAGGAAAAAAATAATAACATAAATATACAAAAACACCTATACATTTTTCAATATAAACTTTTCGTACAAGAGGCGTGATAAGAGTGTTACTCATATTTCATACAAAAAAAAAAACAGATAATTATTTTTATTTAATAGAAGTAGTAGTATTGTTTAATAGCTGTTATCCACCTTGCGTTATTCGTTTCCGTAAAGTTACGGAAGTTTGTTACGGAAAATGTCGACCCAGCATTAGTTCATACAATACCGGCATTGTTTTATAAGCCGGCGCCGTAGGTAGTAAGGAATGTGTCAATGAGATTAACCAAGTGAAAGGAAATTATTAATTACGGAAAAAAGTTTCTATATTTTTTGTCTCTTTTTTTGGTTTAATTGGGATTTATATTAAAATTGAAAGCAAAGTATATAGATATATATGAACACATAAATGTACATGTGTGCGTGTGAATGTATAGTTTTTTTTAGTTTAATATTGAAGATATTAATAAAATGAGGAGTTGTATATGTTATACACTAAAATAATCTACATTTCAGGATTTAGTATGACCTAGTACACCGCAAATTCCTAAATTTGCTCCGCCATCATCACCTCAAATGAGATCGATAAAGCCCACGCCCACTTCACTGATGCTGCTATATTTGAATCTATTTCTGAATGTACAGACAGCATAAAATATTTGACAAACTGCATAAATATAAACGACATATAATTTGGAAAGTGCTTTGCCAATACATTATTTATTCTGACACTACGTAGGTGCTATTTGCTTGGGACCAGAAAATCGCCTACGCTTCCTTCGACAAAGAGATATGAATAGCCTCTGTTTTTTTACTAGGAATATTTTCTTCACAAAATAAACCGATAAGAACAAAGGAAACATTTATATTTTAACGATTTAAAATGGAAATTCATATTTCTTACTATGGCTATAAATTCTCGTTTTTGTATTAATTCTGCTTAACGACTTTAGACTGATTAAAAATATCTTTCCATATCGTTAAAACAAAATATCTTAATCATTTATTTAATATTTTTTATTTATTACTAGTCTTTGCCTTCAACTTCGTCTATGTGTTTAGAGAGAAATGTAAGAAATTATTGACAACAATTATCATTATGAACAAACAGTATTGAGAGTCTATATAGTATGATTTAATATCTAAAACCACTGGCATACCTTGATCTTGGGTAAATTCTGTAAATCGAATGCTAGGTTAATGTAAAGTTTCCTCAAAATTATTTTAGTAATTTGTGGGTGAAGAGCAATAAGTATTATATATACATACATTATTATCACAAACTTCATTTATTTCTGTATCACTTGTAAATGGTAGTAAAATCCAATGAGATTGTTTTTATTTATTTATATAAAATCTATATAAAGAATCCGTAGAAAATGCGAATATATAGTGCTACAAAAAATAACTAATTATTTTAATTTTTCGGGATGATTTAAATTAAATCAAATCAGATAAGAGAATTGCATGACAATTTGATAGCTAATGATTCCGAGTACACTATGAATATAAAAACTTTTAAACTATATTTTCTCTTAGTGTTTTTGGTCGAATTTAAAATTTATATTTCTTCATGCTATTACAATATGGAATATATTTATTTATATCTTAAATATTTGATTTTAGTTGCATAATCTTGAATTATGTTTACTAAGACTTACTTGAATTACGGATTTTTTTCTTCACCTTTTTATTAAAGATTTTTATGATAGAAACTTTTTATTTAACAAAATAAAAAGGTCAATAATAAAAAATATACATTTACATATCCTTAAACTTAATTTTGTTCTGATGTCATCTGACTGACTTTAATTAAAATGTGTTGAACTGAGGTATAAATAAATTAAGTGATAATGTCATGTCAATAATAAAGAATTGACTAACGCCTACAAACTTCATACTGTAACATTTAAATTAAATAAAGAAGACAATTTAAAATATAAATTTTAATTATCAGTTATTTAATTAAAATTTAAATGTTTATATCTCTTGAAATAAAATGATTGTGTTATATAAAACTGTTCAAATTCTTGAGTAATTATTATTTGTTGAATGGTTCAACTTTTCATTCATAATATTAAAATAAAGCACAATTTTAATTCATTTTAACATATTTTTAGCACTATTTTCTTCTTGGTTGTCGTTATATTAAAAATAATTTCAGTGGTAGTAGAAGTAGGCATAATAGGAGTGTATGCATTCATTTTTTGTTCCAAGTTTTCTGCTTTTTGAAAATGTAAACACATATAAACAGACCTCACACTAACACAAAAATAATGCAATTTATATTATTAAATACAAATCAACTAGTGATTTTTTAAATTACATATTTAAACGATTTTCATTTATTTTTAATTATACTGAGTTTATAAGAAATAGTGTTACCATAACAATTAATTGCATTTCTATGTACTTTGTGAAATATCATATAAAATTTAATAATTCCAACAAAATCGCTGGAAATATTTTGTAGTAATTCATCAAAGAGATTTAATTCTAAAGATCAAAGTCTGATTATCGAAATATTTCATAGTCGAATAATTAAATTGAAATTCCAAACAATTTCCAAGTATTATGTCATTCTGATAAATAGTTCGCGTCATATATGTTATGATGCACTCTGTCTAAGCATACAGATGATATTAGTACCTACAAGTAAATTTCAGGTCACAACCTAAGTCTTAAAGCCGCTTAAAGCCGCTAGTTTCCAGAGTCATTAAAACTACATAATATATCTTATTGCACAGCTAACTTTGATATCTACTGTGTTCACAGAGATGAAGTTTAGACGGACCTTGTTGAAAGTTTTGAGTGGTTTTTGCCTTGATATAGTGGACGAGGTACTTGTATTTTGTATGTTTAAGTAAAGTATAAAACTCAGAATATTATATAGTATACATATATTGCACATACGACACTGCATTTGAATGAAATTACTATTTATTATTTGTAAAACCAACAAAGTATTGAATAAAACATAATAATTGATATCAAAATTCTTAATTGTTAACATTACTTTGTAAATTGACTCACTATTACAAATGTTAATAATAATTAATTAAAAGAGCGTACTTTTTAAAAACGACTAACAAATGTAATAATGTGCTTAATGCAACATCAGTCAATTTCTATAAATTTGTCAGCGAAGACTTCATCAAGTGTGCACTAAATTATGAATATATATTGTGTTTCAACGAACGCTTATACTTTGTAATATTTTGTCTTTTGTACAATGTTCAAGCTATTAGCATTTCGCTAACTAAATTAATAACTGTTAATTAGTTAAATGTGATATTAATTCACTTCACTGATCTTGAAACTTAGTCCATATATATGTAATTGTGATAAAAAAATATAATTGATTTACTAAAATACCTGAGAGTATTAATATTAAGACCGGTAATAAAAGGTAAATCAACTATAAGTGTGTAATTGCTTTTGTTAAGATACCTAAAAATTTTACTAAAATTCTAACGCTATTTAAACCAATACTTTAAATTATGTAAATTAATATTATTTTGAACCTTTCCGAGGATACGTAAATATTTTTTAACTAAAATTTAAAGCGGACGAACCTGAGTCAAACTTACATATGCTTTTTCATCCGTAGATTCTGACATACCATCGTATATGTTTCACTGAGAATCTTTAATCGGCCGGTTTTTAGGTTAACGATGCATATTCGTAGTACTAAGACTTCTAGAATATTCCGTATTTAACTTCTTTACGGTATTTAAGGTCCATTCATGCTCCTTATATACGAATTTTATTCAACAAAATACAAATACACTCGGTTTCTTGAATAGGTCGATATTAATATATCAATGGAATAATTAATTATAGGAATTCGTATATATAGGTGTAATTGTATGCACCAATAACGAAATACGAGGTTTTTTAGATAATATTCTATAAAAATATTAGCTACTACCTGGTAATACGCGCTTAATAAGTTGGACTTATCTTTTTTATGAAAGCGTGAGAGTTTTAATTGAATTTTCAACATCACACTTTTAAATCCCTACCCGATATTTTTAATATGCTTTTGTTTGAAAAATTATTTAACGTTTTATTCACAATGTATTCAAATATCAATGCTATTCTGATGGCTCGTTAATTTTATGAATTGATAAAGATTTTAATTACTCGCGTATATTCAATAAAAACCTTTCACAAATAGAACAAGTCAGATCAGATTTTATTAAAAAGAATAATTGGCAGAATAAAAAAATACGTAAATGAAAATCCTTTTGTGATAGCAAAATATCATTTAAAATTTAAATCTAAAATGTATCCGCTTTAAAGATTTATTTGATGTGTATTGATTATTTCTTTTGATGGTCGATAAAAAGGTTTCTACCCGTAGATACTGATTAAAAATACAATGAATTTAAAATAGCATACCTTTATAAAACAAGCCTGTTTAATTTAAGCTAAATGTCATTTGATTTTGTCTAAAAAAAGTTCAACTGATAAGAATTTCAATTGTCAAACGTCAACAAAATGTCAGCTGAAATGTCAAAAGTTCTTTTGATGATTTTCTTTTTATGTTTTCTCACAAACAACGTATGACGTATCTATCTTACATACACACGTTTTATGAATGCTTTGATTTTGATTGCTCATTGTGACAGAAACTGAAAAGAATTTTCTGGAACATTCCAAACATTAAACAGAGATGTTAAGTTCTAGAGAAGATTATTATAGATAATGAGTTGTATTCAATGACGAATATTCTATGAAATATACTGGGTTTTTTAAGAATAGGTCGTTTTAGATAAATGCTTATATATTTACCTTGGAGCTGCCCGTGGCATAGCGGTGTAGACTGGCCACTCGTTATACATGAGAGGGTCGCGGTATGAACTCACTTCGTTGATAATCTCTGGAGCCCGGGCTTGACGCTTGGAAAACCTGGTGACAAAATTATATCATTCATTATAATTATAGAAGGTTCGTGTAGAATGGAATAAAGCTATTTATACATCCAACTTACTTATAATATCAATATAAATAATTGAATTTAGTTTTAATTGTATTAATGAGATACGATTCAGGTAAAAAACAGCTTATTCTAGTTCATTTATACAAGACTATCTGGCCCGGCAGACTTCGTACTGCCTCAATCAAGAAATAAATTATGTCTTATTTATTTTTTTGGTGTTTACCTTTAAGCCATAAATCTCCGTGTTCTGAAGTGCGACAAAATGATTGACATATTAGTTAGTTGTCAAATCTAATGTCAAAAACCGTTTGTATGGGAAATAAAAAACCGCTGTTTTTAGGGTTTTCCCGGAAATTAATAAAATTTTTTCAGCTTTTAAACCTTCCCTGAACCTCCACAAACATTTCAAGACTATGATAAGATAAATCCGTTCAGTCGTTCTCGAGTTTTAGTGAGACCAAGGAACAGCAATTCATTTATATATATATAGATTGAATAAATTTGACTTCTAAGATACATATATCGTCTTAACTTGTCCTAAATACCGTTTTCGTTTAACGAAACAATTTACATTCTCTGACTATTTTCCTTTTTTGCCATTAATTGAATGTACTTAAGTTATGCTTCATTTAGATTTGCTACCTATCTATCGAGATGACCTGACCTCATCTATCAAGGAAAAACCAATTTCGTAAAAGCTAGAGTTA